TGACAGTGTCTATATGGCAATACCTGTTTTTAGAATCATGAAGGGGTTTTAAAAGGCAATGAGAATTGTTGAGGCCGAGCTCCTTAACTCTAAGGCCATACTGCCTCCTGGTTCCTGTCTCCTAAAGAAACTGTTTAGCCTTTTAGGAATTTTGAGAAGCTTTTTTCCTTCGCTTGACTAAACAGCTGCTTTTCCCCTGTTTTTTATTATCCTTCCACCTAAATATTCTTAACCCAAATCAAAGTCAGATTCCAACACACCTACCAAATGTAGCATAATGGGGGAAAAGCAAGGGTTTTAATTACATTTAATCCCATTATAACATTTAGTAGACACTGAGCAAGTTATTCAATCTCTTCATGGAGCCTGTTGCCTTCCTGAAAAGTTGCTATAAATACTATCTTCATCTTGAAAAATAAGGATTTCGCTGATACATGCAACTTATCACCCTACTCCTAAAATCCATGTGAATAGTACCTCCATCCATAAGAGGTATATATACTTCTCTACTTTTTCTGATGAATGCAATCTTCTAATTTCCTTAATACTGAATTTTAGCTCAGGTGTGGTGGCACATGGCTATAATCCCAGTGACTCAGAAGCCTGAGGCAGTAAGATTGCCAAATTCAAGGCCAGCCTTAGCAATGGAGACCCTGTCTGAGAGGCTGTAGCTTAATAGTGAGACACCCCCGGGGTCAATCCCAAGTACCCCCAAAAATTGTGGTGCTGGGGATTGAACCTAAGGCCTCATGCATACTAGGAATATACTCTTATCACTGAGCTACACTTCCATCCCTGAAAATAACTTGCTCAGTGTCTACTATTAACACAATTCCATGGTAGTAGTACTTTTCTTTTGAGATAGTGTTTCACCATGTTGCCCAAGCTGGTCTGGATCTTGTGAGCTCAAGTGATCCTCCTGCCTCAGACTCCCAAATAGCTGGAACTACAGGCATTTATTCCTGGCTTGACTTTTGATCATCTTATTTCTTAAATAAAGGCTTTATAAGATTAACGTGTTATCAATTTTTAGTGATTATCTGGTCTTTATGGACTAACATCATACTGCATACTATAAACCTCTGTGAAAATAAGTGTCCTAGTTAATATTTAGTGCTGACCTTGCCAAGTAAAATCAGTAGCTATCTTCTTGGCCCATGGTCCAGATAGTAGGAAACTGCTTTTCTTGTGGACTATGTCAGATTCTTTGATACAGTGTATTTGAAAAAGATGTACTGGATGAGGATTCTACTCTTGGTTGTTTTATATCTCCTCCAAGTCATTTTGACTCAAATGAAATGCACTTAAAATACTCCCAATTAATCTACTGTAATTTTGGAAATGTTTCTAGTCCCTCAATTCTTTTGCTCCCTGCCATGGGTAATGCTTAAAAAGTTTTTCTTGGTAGGGCAATAATTGGGATATTTATTTTAGATGTTCACACCAGGGCAAAGAATAGCATTGCAAAAATATAACAAAAGCCAAGTACTTCTAAAATGTGTATTAAAAGAATATAAATTTAAGAGGTCAGTTGTTTCTAAATTAGTAACGCATCACACTTTCTGAAAGCTAGGTCAACTAACCTGACAGCACTTTTGGAGGAAAAAAAAAAAACACTCCAGGCAAAAGAACCAAAGGGATACTTACTCTTCCTTCCTGCTACTTCTGAGCAATGAACAACTGGACAATTACCATCTATTAAAGACTAGCCTAGCTGTAGATCTCAGGTTTCAACTCTAGTTTCTCAGGATATGGAATCAAGTTTTCTCCAAGCCTGAATTCTTTCTTGGGTCACAAATTCACTGCATCTTGCTAAAGTAAGTACAGGGCTTGAAAGGGAAAAAAACAAAAGCACATCAGTTTCACCAAGAAAGGGAAATCAAAGAGCAAATTAATAACCATGATTTGGGGGGCCCAACTTGAAAAAGTAGCTCTTCAAACTTTTCCTTCTCCTAAGAATGGCTCCTTTAGCTTTGCTTTAAAAAAAAAAGACTAACTGGGGAAACAAATTACAATTTTAAAAATCTCTGTGACTTGAGTGGTTTCATGAAATCAACTAATGAAGTGTAAAAGAAGCAAATGTCTAGTTTTTACTGCCTGGGAACTGAATGATAAATAGAGTATCCAAAATTTGAGATTTTCTTAGCTAGTTAAGCTGTCAATCACTACAAACCCACTGTTAATTCTCAGATCTGTTTTATCCCACTAAAGGCCACAAAAGAACCACCTTTACACATAAATTGAAAAGTCAGGGGGAAAAAACTGAAAAAAACTACACAGATGTAATTCTATCTTATGTCATCTTTTCTACTCACTCTAACCTAATCCAAAACATTCTTAAGCTGTCCCATCTCTTTTAATACCAGTTTCTGAACCTCTTAAGAACTTATCTATACAGATAGATATGCTTTAAAAAAAAAATCATACAGGATGACAGGGATTCAATTATTGGGGGTTTTTTTGGTTGTTGTTTAAAACTACAGAATTACCTGTTATTTTGCCTGCTATGCTCTTCCTCTCCACTGCAGTAAAAATTCTGTTTAACTTGGAACTCAAAAATCCTAGATATAAAGAACGTTTATATTTACTGTCGAATTAATAAACTGCTATTTATACTGACTTTCATAGTATAATACAAATACTTAATACAATTCAGCAAATATTTATTGAATCTTCTAAAGATTTTAACAAACACAAAACCTTGCTGGCTTAAATAGATATTCTTCTTTTGTATTTCAGTTATTATCCAATTTAGCTAAAAGCTTTAAATATATTTTTGGCTAAATTTACAAATGTTATTTTTCATCGTATAAGTTGTAACTATAAAATTATAATCTACAGACACACAATCACAAAAAAATCAAATTTTCCTCTGTCCCCTGATGTTTTCCCTTGCTATTTATAAATGAGATATACTCAGCATTGAAACTACATCATATAAAAACAGACATACCACCTTTCACTATGACAAAAACAAGTTTAAAAAAAATGGAAGTTTTAGAATAATCAATGTATTTTACGTTGGATGCCTAGTTTTCAAAACTAGACTAAAAAAAACTGCCACTAAATGGAATTTTTCTTCAAGAATCAAACTTCTCTTACATTTAACCTAAAAACATGGTTCTCAGCAAAGGAAACACATCAGAATCCTCTATGGTGTTTGTCAAACCATATACCTTGGCCTGGAAATGTTTAGGATAGGAACCAGACCCCAAGATTTCCTCTTTAAGAATTAAGGGTGACTTTTATTATAAATTTCTCCCTTTCCCACTAAGAAACATGCCTTCATATGAAGAATTTTAAACCTTTACTAAGATTTATTTTATGTTTCTTGGCAATTTGGTAACATTTCAGTAATAAGTTAAAATTGTGGGTCTGGGGACCAGAAATCATAAGCAAGTGGGTATTATTATCCATTGCAATGTGAACAACTGTTGTTCAAGTTAAGGAAAAAAAGTTCAGATATTCACCATTGCCACTTTACAGTAAATGGCAGATTCTTCTATAATGCTTACCATATGCCAGACACTGTAGCTCTTTACATATATTAACTCAATTCTTAAAACCTAGGGAAACTGGTATTATTAAATCCATTCTATGGAGAAAAATGAGGCAGAGGAGTTATACACAGTAGCTAATAAATAGGGAGTCAGGAATCCTTGCTCTTCCAATATGCCCTATTGACCTTTCTACATGTTAATAGCATTAGTTATACAATTATTAAAATTAATTTGGGTTATTAACTTTTGGAGTGTTCAGATCATTCATTTCTTGAAATGGTAACTGAAGTGAAATGTCACAAACTTGAGAAGATATATGCAGGCATTCCTACTCAGGAGTCATAACTCGGTATTTTTACATTTCAGAGCTTCAAGTCTCCTTTCTTGACAGGAGAAATTCTACATTTAAATTTATAACAAAGCTCTATAAGGATAAGATTCCTATTCAGTTTTAGAATACACAGAGCTTACGTTTTCATTTGTAAAATACTATTGCTATCATGCTTCTCATTAAGTATTTTCTCAACTTCAGCATCGAACTGTGGCAGGTATTATCTCCCCATAAGTTCTTTCAGTTTAGTCCAGAGACATCAACATCTTCCTTCCTGACACTAGGATTTTCCAAAGGGCCATATCCAGGTCTTTGACACAAGAGGTCCTGATCTTATTCTGTATGGCTCCTATTTTCTAAACAAATACTTGTTATGATATGGTTACTTTTATTCCTTTTCTCTATCCTATTGCAAAGCCTTCCAGGAAAATTCATATGCACAAAGGAAAGTCTTTAGGGTTAAAGGAGGAATAAGTCTCAGTTCCAACAGTATTGTCTGTACAAACACCAAGTGAACTACTATCCCAACAAACATAAAAAGATAATCTCAATAAAAAACATAACTGGGGTCACATAATTACAACAAATTTCTTGCCAGTGCATTTTCATTCAAATAATTATCTTGTTATCTTTTAAGGCTACTACTGGTTATTTAGTTATGCTTTTAAGATGTTTTTACAATGGGAAAATCATGCAGCTACTGAATCTCAATCTTAAGATTGAATAATCTCTAATAAAAATTTTAAAAGATGTTTTGTTACAATGGTAAAAGATGAATAATAGTATACTTCAAAATTTTTTATTTCTAAGTTTTCAGGTTTAAGTAGCCTTTTCTCTATGCCTGTTTTGGGGTCTGGAGGAAGGAAAAGAATGCTACTTCTTACCGCCATCCTAAAAGTCTCAATTTACTAATGAAATTAAAATTTGTGAAATAAAAACTTCAATTTTTCCCCTTGTGCAAAAATTTGTGAATACCCCATACATAGCACAAGCCAATAAAATAAAACTAGGCAATCCTTAGTATCCAACTCTTAATGTCTAATGGAAGGAATACTTAGGATTTACTGAAACCTTTATCCCATAATCAAAATTCTTTTTAGTGGCAATTCTGTGTGCAAGTTTGAGGCATGTTAAAGCTAAAGACTTCATCTTCTTGTTAACACACCCTGGAGATTTTAAAAACACTTTATTTAATAAAAGTTAAACATACAAAACTGAAATTAACACACATTCTAAAAATCATCTCCCATTAATAGGAAGACCCTTTTCTATGCATGTATTTGGCTTTAACTCAACTCAGGATAACTGATGTCACACCAACAAATGCTGGCAACTTGATCTAGTTAATAAAAATTAAAAACTCAGCTACATGAACATAATATACAGGGAAATTATGGTCAGATTAATGCACAAGAAATACAAGAAATTTTAATGATGAAACATTCAGTACTCTTGTTCATTAATTTAGCCTTGGTTTTTTACAAAAATAGTATCTACACTGTATACAGGGCTATACATCAGCTTTTTGTTTTCCCATATAAACATTACACATCCAAAAATGGTACCACTAACCATATGTGAAAAACTGACAAAGGAAAAAGCAAACATACAAAACCACAAAACACCAAAAAAAAACACCTTAGAAAGGTAGCTCATCCTAACATGGTTTCTTACATAAAACTAACTCAGTGAATAAAAGTAAAATCTAGATCAATTTTGAAGAGATGGCGTACAGGCTTAGAAAACAAGTTATTGAAGGAAAAAAACCTCAAACAAACTTTACCATTTACAAATTAACCCATATTTTGGCTTGTCTGGTTAAGAGCTCAGTTTTAAAGTTGAAGACAAAGGGGGAAAACCCCAAAAAGATCTCCTTAGCAAGTTGGTGTTTTGTCTTGATGTTCCAAATGAATTGCTAGAATATGTGTCAAGTTCAAAGTGTTTGAAAATTAAAATTATGACTTACAAAAAGTTTACACCATCAAGTGGGGGGCCTGATATTAGGAAGATCAACAATTCATTTTAAGTGCTGATTTAAGCAGCATCTATCTAGAAAAGTTGCCTTATTCAACAAACTCTGAGGGAACTGTGGTAGTATAAATGAAAAGTTAAATGAATAGCAGTTATCAAATGCAATTTCTTCAAGTTTCATTCTATTGAAGTCAAACAATGACAACAATGATATCTTCCTTACTCATCTAACAAATAATTTACCTTTAGAAAAATATAAGGATAAAAAGGTAAATGTAAAGCCCTGCAGAGATGAAATCCAACAGTTTTTCTGATTATTGAGGCATCAAATGCCTGACATTGTATTTAGAGGTATCTTGATACTGTGTCATAGGTTTATCAGCAATTCCACAAGTTCCTACTCCAACTTTGCCAGTAACACTCTCAGGTGAAGCAAAAATACTCCTCTTTACCTAAGGGAAAGAACAGAAACCATTTCTGATTAGTTTTGGGAAAAAAGTAAATTTTAAACTTTAGTATTAAAACAGTCTAGCTTCAATATTTTAAAAAAGAAAAGCTCATTGCTTTTGTTTGCTAGTGTCAAAATTCACTAAACAGAAGCCATTTATTCTAACTTATAACATGTGGAAATTATCACTACACACTACAAACACTCATAACACTTGGACATTTACCTGTCTCCAGATTATAGTTTGCAGTCTCAAATCTAACCCTAATTTACAATATGAGTCTTCAGTTCTAGCATAACTACAACTCTGACTATATTGAAGTTTATAGCAGTGTCTATTGGATATCTAAATTATGAAATCCCTTGCCCTTTGTTAAGTCATAAAATGAACATCTTTATGAAAAGGAAGTACTATTTTTCCAGAAATCATGTCTACCAATGGAGGTGACTAAACAAAAAACAAAGATGTGTACAATAGCCAGGTTATCCTGACTGTGAACTTCCATGGATGTTATGAGTATATTTTACCTAACTCAGAAAGTTAACCAACGGAACTTAAAAGCTTTTTTTAAATAAGATCTAACAGCAATGCACATAAAGACATGTTATAAAGCAGAGTTCAGCACACTGTCCCTAAATGGTATGTAAAGCAGCAAATAATTTTTCAAATTTGTCATTCCTAACATAAACTCTCATGAATAATGTTTTTATTGTAGAGACAGTGGCTAATAAGAGACATTTTTCAAAAAGCAAAATTGAGGAATGGCAATGATTTTGATTATAATAGTTTCAAAAATCTATGTACCTCCTTTTTCATTTTAAACATTTTAGTGACAATTGCATTTTTCAGATTTGCAAAGTGTGATGAATAGATTTACCAACCTGGCCTTTTTTGTTTTTAGAATAGGCTCTGTTGTTGAATTGTTGCCATTTCACCTTCTGGTCCTCTCTTTCCTGTTCAAGTTCTTTTATTCTCTGTGCTTTTTTCAAAGCTTTCTTCTTTTTGTATTCACGCTGCTGGGCAATCATTTCCTTTCTGTGTGGTAAAAACAGCTAAATGTCAACTATTAAGATTTAAAAGATGACCTCCTTGTGAACCTTAGACGCGGCACGGCACACACACAAAAAAAATCCAATAAACTTACACATACTTCTCTCCATGAATAAAAGCACTGAATCATTAAAATCAATGCCAATCACCTGGCACTAGTATACAAATTGTTTTTTTTTTTAAAAAAGTATCCTTAAAAGCTTTCATACGTAATCTCTCACAAATATAAATCAAATATTTCAGCTAAGCCTTTTAAAAAAGTATTTTTTACTGGTGCAATATCATTATATATAATAGTGGTATTCATTATGCTGTATTCATACATGCACTTAACTATATATTTGACCTTTTTTGGGGGGTACTGGGGATTAATCCAGGGGATATTTAACCACTGAGCCAAATTCCAAGCCCCTTTTTATTTTTTGAAACAGGGTCTTGCTAAGTTGGTAATGCTGGCCTCAAACTTGCCTCCTACCTTAGCTTCCAACTTGCCAGGATTATAGGCGTGTACCACAAGCCTGGCACTTTTTATTTCACTTTTATATAGCTTCTATCAGTTGTGTTTTAGAAACATGTTAAATTTCAAATAATTAGCTGCCTACAAATCAATTCCCAAATAGACATAGAAGTATAATGCAGAGCATTTGAAAAAGTGTATGAATGGACTGAATACAGATAAAACTATTTCACCCAGAAGAATGCAGCAGCACAAGGGAAATCATAGTTTTTTTTTTTAATTGTAGGTGGACACCTTTATTTTTTAAAATTTATTTCTATGTGGTGCTGAGGATTGAACCCAGTGCCTCATGTGTGCTAGGCAAGTGCTCTACCACTGAGCTACAACCCCACCCTCACAGCTAACAATTGTTAAAAAAAAACAAAAAGCAAAAACATGGCGGCGGGGGTGGGGGGTGGTGTGTGTCAAAAATCCTACATAGGATTCTAAATAGGATTAGAGCTTAAAACTATCAATAATATGCACTCAGTTAAAACCAACCAAATGAAGGATGAAGAAAAAAATCTTTTAAGAGAGGCAATAAAATCTAGATCCCCATACTATATAATTGCCACCATGAAGCCAAGTATGGCTTTGTATACAGAAGCCAAAAAACTAAAATCAGAGATTACACACAGTTTTACAATCTGATTTTTCTTACTGGGGATGTTTATGTGTTATTTTAACAAGTGACAGAATTTTTCCAAATATATTTACGTTGTAACTTAAAAATTTGAAAACCCCACCTTCTAGTCCCAAGTTTTTACCACAGGTACCTTTCTGTTACCTCTACTGATAACTGCAGTGCCAGTACTTTATCTTTGTTCCCTTTGTAAGTATGTTCTATCCCTTCCTAATATCTTCACTTTATTATTAAAGTGCTTTGATTAAGTGTTCTCTTTGGATATAAACTCAGTATACTCAGAGGAAGCCTAAGTTGGTCTTCATTGTGATACAGCCTCAGCTCCTGGCTTATAAAAAATATAGTAGGAAGATGTCCTCAGTACAGTACGGTATCCTCCTAATATGGAATGCCCAAGAGGGAACCAATATGTCATCACTTAGGCATACACATAACAGACCATGCTGAGCCTGTGTCACTCCTAAATCTTTAGAACAATAATAGTATTCTAACTTCCTCACCCCAATTTAGGCTACATATAGCTTCCATTTGCAGATTACTTCAAGTACCCAAATGGGGAACATCTAAAATGCCAAAGTTACTTACTTTGACATGGGTTTATTCCCACTGTCCTCCTTTGCCTTCCTTCCTTCTTCTACAGGCTTCAGGTTCAACAGTGGAGTCACTTCAGCATTGCCATAACCAGCAAAGGTAATTGCAGCGGTGCCATTTTCTTCATCTATCTCCTCGATCTCCGCTTCGTAACACCTGTAAAGATATCATGGCTGTAAGCAGGTGAGTAAAGATTTAGTACTCAGCCTACAAGACTTATACTGCAGAGATTCAATTATTATATGTGATTAAAATGAAACTTCTGAAGTTAAATGGCCCTTCTGACAAAAATAATTCAAGAGTGGCTGGAGTTACACATCTGGTATTAAAAAAGAAGCCCTAATCAAAATATTGCCAAGAAAGTTTCTTAAACATATATCTATTCAATATGCTTTAGTTCAACTCTCTGAGAAAAAAATAAATTCTTATAGGAGTGATTTCAGTGTATGCACTTCACAGAAATCTGAGGTAATCTACCATTTGCTCAGTTTTCAACTTAAGGAGGAAATAATTTAGATTATTTCGGAAAACAACTATTTATTTTTCTCTCCTCTGGGATGTAAACCATTCTTCTCCCTCAAACTTAATCTAAAGCTAAACCTAAACTTCATTAATGGCAACCACCCAAAAACTGGCTCTGTAAATCACATTGCCTATATGGAAAGATTAAAATAGGGTAGTTCAAACTGAATAAAAAATCTTACCATTGTATTTTATTATTGCATGTTACAGTTAGAGGGCTTTTTTTTTTTTTTCTACACTTACTGTCCATCTTCACTCCAGATTGCCATACACTTGTCTCCGACTTTCCATGAATGAGTGGGCTGAGCAGAAGCAAAACTATCTGAACTTGCAAGAGTTTCTGATGGTTGAGTTGACAGGAGGTCTTTGGTTAGTTCTATAACTTCCTAAAAAAAGATGACAAAATCATAACATTAACATATTATCAATTACTTTCTTAGTTTTTGATAATAAATGCTATTTGGTTTGAGAGCTGATATAGTTTATAACACTAAGAAATATTGAGATTTACTCCATGTTGAAACTGAGATAATATTTTACATAAGTAGTGAAGCTGTGATTTAAGCCTAACAATCTTCATCTTAATCATAAATACTAATAAAAATAAAATAGACTTGAGCTTGTGCCATGCATTATTTCAAAGTGCTTATTAGTAAATAAATCTCTCTAAAGATGAGAAATACAGTATGAGGGATTGAATTAGATTTGAGGTCCCTTTTACTTCTATCATCATGTATACTTCATGCAACTGTTCTGTCTTCTAGGTATTACTTAGCAGTTTTATTACCTGTCTAGTCAATACCCCCCCATTCCCAAAACACTTGAAGCAGCCTTATTTGTGAACAAAAATATTCCTACTTCCACATATTTCTACTAAAACACTGTAGGCATATGTAAAAGAAACCAGTAGTCTTCCTATTCATTTATTATAAATCTCACGTCAACTGAGTAATAAGCACACATCAAGTTAATTTAAATATACCTTGATATTTATTAATCACACCAGCACAGCTTAATTTAAAAGGAAAAAAAAAAAAAAAAACAAAAAAACCTAACACAGGCAGGCAATGCCTCTGTGTGGCTAATAATTTTCTAATTCAGGCTCACATTTATTGGTTTCCTTCAAAGGTATGTTAGGGATGGTTCCAAAACATGAGAAATAGTACAAATTTATAGATTCTGCGGTCTACTGAATTTTTACTCTAACGAAAATCCAAGGTCTGTACCATTTTATCTGATTTATTTTAACATACTGCATACCTATTCCTCCACATTGTTTTATTTAAAATATTCTGTGTGTTTGGGGGAGAAAAACTGGCAAAATTAACTCTACTTAGTTTCTTCTGGCACACTCTTTGAGTTTTTGAAATAGTAATTCTGGTTCAGTAGCCAAGACAGTTAAATATTAGCTCTTTCCTAAAGTTTTTAAAACTTACTGGCTACTTTTGAAAAACTAATATTTGGGTCTTAAAAAAAAAAAAAAGAAAGAAATAGTAAGCCTTTGGAGAAAGGCTGATTTTGTGGATTAAAGAACTAGAAGAGTCAGACTTAAGTTGTAGATTTAGTACAGTAGCACCTCTAAGTTTTATTAGCTGCCAATAGTTATTTGAACACTTTTTTTTTCCTTTTGCATAGTCCCTAAAGATAGGACATGACGTTTTTTGGTGGTACTGGAGGTCTTGTGCATACTAAGTACTCTACCATTGAGCTATAGCACGCACCAGTCCTCAAATACCTTTCTCCCCACCTACTTGTAGATGGACACAATATCTTTATTTTATTTATTTTTATGTGATGCTGAGGATCAAACCCAGCGCTTCACACATGCCAGGCAAGTGCTCTGCCACTGAGCCATAACCCCAGCCTCTTGAATACTTTTTAATTAGACAGTCCTTTGCAAATAAAGCAAAGAAGTGCCACATAAAGTAGTACACAGAAGAGAGTAAATTACCCAGTCTTGTTTTTAGTTAACCCCTTTTAAAGCCAAGGATATAATCCAATAAACCTGACTCAAGAGCCTATAATACTTCTATCATTAAATACTTCCACATCCTCCTATGGATGGTTTAACCATTGAAGCTCAAACACAAATTTTTCATTTGTACATCTCATAGTTAAAACTCTATTATCTTTTCAGACAGAACATTTTCCCACTATACTCATAAGAAAAGATATTTTTAAAGAAAATGGTCCTAAAAAGCTGTGCATGTTCAGAGCTTTGCTCTGAAACGACCCCTTCTCAACAAAAACAAAATCCAGAGCATTTACCCCTAATGTCCTGTAACTGACTTTGCCATGGTTTTATATATACTTCCCAACAAACTATGAAGAGCTTTCTAATTTTTTGTTTTCTTCACATGTGCATATGGACGAAAGTATCAGAAAACTATTTCACGTATGAGGGGGTTCTTGAAGGTACATACCATTAATTACTTTTCCTCCCCCAAGTTTTGAAACTGCTCCTTCATTGACAGATGGGCAGCAGTTACAGTAATCGGCAATTCCAGGAAGCATCAGGTGTTGTGATCTACATATCAGCAGGTCAAAGGGGGTGCACTCAAGCACTCTGCTTACTGAAGGAAGGCGTTTCGGGGATGCAGAGAGCCACTGTAATATATGAGACAAGTGACTTGACCCCTGCCTCCTTTAGAACCAGTTTATTCAGCAAAACAGCCTAATAAATTGACTATTTTTGTGATTATCATACACTGCCTGGGGAGCTAATCAGCTGGCTAGCCCGAATTTTAATATACCTATTTTATCTTTTAAGTGAAAAGAAAGGCTGATAGAACTTCAGTAGATTAATTTGCTGCCTGCTGAATACTACTATGAAAGACAATAAAAGAGATAAATATGGAAACCTTATTGGAAAAATATGTCACTGAAAAAAGTTCAGAAAGAATGTTTTATCATAAATCAAAGGGCAAATAAATTAAGAATCAGGATATGATTCCATAAGAACACAAGAAATTAAAAACATATGATGATCCAAAAACATGAAAATGATAAAGCCAGAGACTTAATAATCAATCTGAACAAGCTTTTCATTAAAGGTGATAAGCAGTATTGAATACTAATGGCACAAGATACATTGCAGAAAGCAGAAAAGGGGGAAAAAAAACATTGCAGAACAGAAACTATAACTATAGTCTCAAAGAAGACAACAACTACTAGGTGGAAACATATATCCACACACCATTCAGAATTTTATCTAAATATTAAAAGATGCTTTCCATCTTTGAGTAGTTTCAGTTCAAAACAGGCTTCTATCTAATAATCAAAATCAAATTTTTTACTCATCATGAGAATAAAAAAAGTAACTCATCAAGACTGGTTAGTTAAAACATTCTGATTTATCACTATCTGAAGGATTAGCACTTAAACTTCTAAATCTGTGCCATTCCATATGTAGTCATTTAATTGAGTAAAATTAAAAATTCAGTCCCTCAATTACCCTAGCTGTATTTCAAATATTTAATAGCCATACGTGTCCAGTGGCTATGGTACTGAATATCAAACACAGAATATTTCCACGATCACAGAAAGGTCTACTGGACAGTGCTGTTCTAAATAGTTACACAATATTTTTATTGTCTTTTTGTTTTTGAGAAAGGGCCTTTCAATGTTTCCCAGAATGCCCTCAAACTACTGGGCTCAAGTGATTCTCCTGCTTCAGGCTTCTGAGTAGATCAAACTACAGGCCTATAGCACCACCAGGTCAGCATAGAAAAGATATATTTTATAAAAAAACAATTCCCAAGTCATTAACCGAACCCTAGATAAGTTTTTTATGTACTCACTACAATGTCTACTATAGTGGTTTCTCCCTACAGTATCTACTGCTATAAACTGTGTCATATTAAGACAGTTGTGCCCAGAGCCTAAAAGATAATTTACTCTAGAAATATTAAAAAGACCTGATAATAATCCTGTTTTAAACTCCACTCCCAATTCCCCTTCCACCAGTTCCACATCTCTCCTCCCATTGCCCAGGAAGCAAGGTACAATACAACATTGCACACAATGTTTTCTTTTCTTCAAAGAAAAAAGGACTGCTTTTAAGTTGGTAAAGTAGACTGAGCATCTCTTTGAGGCAAGGAAAAAAAAAAAAAAACAATACTTGAAGTCGAAAAGAGGTCGGTTTGCTTTTGTTATATCTGCAATGCATACTCACAGAACACGTGAGTAATTCACTGAATGGACAGGAGCAAACCATCAGGTTATTTTTACATAAGGGCCTTGAAGTAGGCCCTACAATCCACAGGCCTGGCTTCTATGAAGGATTCTGTTTGAACTGAAATTATTCCAGATATTTTCTATGTTTTTTAAAACAACATACACTTGCAAGTTTATCCTAAATCTAGAACTGAATTTGAAAATATTCATTCATTTTATGCCTGGATAACCTCTTTCAGAATCTAAAACCTAGACCCCAATTCAGAAAAGTTTCACTCATTTTCAGTTATAAAATCCCTAAAATTTAAGATTTAGTGGGTAACAGGATGATAAAGGGACAGATTAATTAGACAGGATATAGAACCAGTACAGAGATCATCTAATCAAAACCCCCTGAAAACTTTAAAAAATCAGGTTCAGAATTTTAAGGAAGTTCTTAAGATGAAAAGTTATAATACTAGTATTTACAAATTACATATGGTACTTTTCTTAACCTGGTGTCCTGAGAAACAACAGTATTTACTATCATGTTTTTATGTTTATCTTGAAACCCACTGCAGGTTTAAAAATGTTATACTTACTGAACTATCCCATAATAAATTAAGATCTCAACTTGACAAAGGTCAAAACTACACTATAAAATCTAGTCTTAAGTTCAAACACCTAACTAACATTAATACCAAAAACATGTATCTCTTTGGGATATCTTAATGATGTGTTTTTAATATAAGGTGTAACCCACTAGCAATGAAATAAAAAGTTATTAAATGTTTCACTCTCAATATTATATCACTAAAAAAGTTTTAATCTGATTATATTTTCTTTTTTTTTAAATCTTAAGTTACCTTTTGAACTCAATTTCTTTGCCAAAACTTGAAAAATAAAAGCAAATTCCTTTGTAAAGTTTCTTCTGTTGAAAGTCTGACACTTTCAAAATCAACTAATTTTTAAGAAATCCTATGAGCACACAAGATTTACCTAATTAAAAACAATGTTTATTCTTTTTGATGCATATAAATTGAGGAAGTAACCATATTTCTCTACAAGCCTCAGTGCCTACACATATGTGTACACACATAGGAGGGGAACCTGCTCCAAGGGTGTTTTGAGTACCTATGGATTCTAAAAAAATAGATCAATTGAAAGCCATAGAAATTTTTTTCCAAGCAATGTTAACTACAATTGTTCACTCGTACTTACTTGTAAATCTTTCTTCAATTTTAGCAAATCTTCATTTTCTCCATTTCCAGATAATGCAGCTTCTACTTGCTGGAGTTGAGCTTTGTAGCTTGCCAGCTGTTTTGCTAGATCCTCTGACATCTGGGGAAAATAAAGAGGTTAAGACCATGAAAACTAAGTCAAATATCAAAGCACAAAAAATATTTCCTTAACCTGCCTGAATCAACCAGGCAGAAAGAATGTTTTATCATAAACTACTCCTGCAGCTTATATTTATCACCATTATTTTTACTTTTACTTTAGACTTGAGCTAAATCACAAACTTCAAGGTAACATATTCTGAAGAATACAGAACATGTCAGTTCAATTCCATTTAAAAAGGTTGAAAAAGCATGGGATAAGAAGAAAAACTTCTTTAATTTTCTTAACTTATTATAGGAAAGCACTGTGATCAGCTCAATAATTAAGGTTATTATCATATCTTTAAGCATGAAAGAATACATCCACGGCGAAATAAAACTGATTCCAAGTTATCTACACAAATAACTCTCTTTATTTGAACAAATCAATTAAGCATGTATGTAGAAGTTCTTCTCCAGAATAAAAATCTTTCACTCAGTCAACTTAAATTTGCAGTTGTCGATTCATTTTCTTAAGTAGCAACACAAATACTCCGCTGGGCTGAGGATGTAGCTCAGCGCTAGAGCATGCACAAGGCCCTAGGTTCGATCCCCAGCGCTTCAAAACAAAAACAAAAATACTCTCGCATGTAGGCATTCCCAGAAACGCTGCCATTTGCCAAACGTAGCTCGCACATTCTCCAGCAAACAAGATATGAATGAACCCTTCCTTGATGATTTGTAAGCAATCGTATGGGGCTTTCTTAAATTCTCGTCCAGCGAAAGCCTGGAATCTGGAAAGACCCTAAAGGGTTAAAGCAAGCCAGGCAGCTCTTGTGCCAGTCACCCAACACCTTTAAGCCCGCCACAACTTTGTCGATTGTTTCAGGCCTGGAAACCTAAACATCGGCTGTCCGAGGCTTTGCAGAACCGCGCGGGCGTCCCTACCCGACCCGACGGCCGCCCCAGTCCGGCCGTGTTCGCCCTTTCGCACAGAGGCCCCAACGCAGGCCGGGCCGCTCACGATCAACTCTGGGTGGGAGAGGAGCTGGGGCTCCTACCCGACAGCCCACGCCCAGACCTCTCTTGTGAGGCTGGCTCCTCGGTCTCGGGCCTCTGCTCTAACTCTGGGGAGACCAAGGCCCGGCGAGGCCTGACGCTCCCTCACAGGATTTGTTACCTTGTGTGGGGTTGGGGATGGGGCGGCGGGAAGGGGTCGGGGAAATGAGCCCGGTGGCGGCGGTGGCGGCAGAGGCAGTAGCAGTAGGAAAAAAATCTTCGCGACGACAACAGGGCAACCCGGTCTCTAAAGGAAGAACTCCGTCGGTGGCGAGGGGGAGGGGAAGGAAAACCGGGCGCTGGAAGGAGGAAAAGACAAGGCAAACGAAGTCTCGCGAGATATGAAAAAACATCGCGAGATGTCACTCGACTCACATGATTCCTGGCGCCCTCTAGACGGTCAAGCTTGCTCTCGCTAGGGAGGTGAAGTAGGCGGGGCTTAATAGGAAGGAAATGGCGTAACCGGGCTGCGCCGGGCGCAGTGTATAGGATCTTCATACGTAAGTTCCGGCTTTAAGTGGGTAGTCATTGGATATTCATCGTGAAGCGTGTTCTGTTAGGCTCTTTCTGACTGCCTTCTTAAGCTAGCTATGGTGGAATTTAATGCAGCTTTTATACTAGTGGTTAGTTTTCAGAGTGTAGTCCCTGAGTCCGCAGCATCAGCATCGCCTGGGACTTTAGTGGAAATGCAAATTTTTAAGTCCAGCCCGAGACCTCTGGAATTCAGAAACTCTGCCAGTAGACTCGCAGTCTGTTTGAATTAGCTGTCCAGGTGATAATGATGTCCACTGAAGTTTGAGAACCTCTACATTGTGTAATAATAAATTCCTTAATAGGAAGAGAAAGTTAATTGTGGCAAAAACTATTGAGAAGAGGTTGATTTATTTAAAATCCGTTTAACCTATTTGTTGTTAATTATCTTGCCTAATAGAGAACAATCTCGGGTTATAGTCTTGAGTGATAAGTAGACTGGTATTAGACTTCCATTTATGTCCAAAAAGAAATGCTCATTAAATGTGCATGTTTGCAATAATACAATATATGTGAGTTCTGACGCACAAACCTATCTAAGGTTTGGAATGGAGGCCAAATGTTTTCATTATCTTTTTTACTGTTTCCCCTTTTTCCTCCTCTATCTTCCCCTCCTCTTCCCCCTCCTCTTTTCCCACCATATTTATATAATTTTATTTCATTTCTTTAAAAAAAAGATAAAAACTTGAAACTAAAGCTATCCAAATATCTACCTCCCTGGGGGATTAACTAAGAAGACCCTTCTCTCAGTTCCTCCTCTTGAATTTGTGCAACATCTTGCTTTAGTTCCTTGCTTTCTTTTGAAGGAGCTCCATTTTTGTCTACACACACACACATTCCATACAGTAAGTTAGATAACCATGGAGAAGAAAATCAGGACAGGTATGTGAGTGTGATTGGGATGGAAGTCAACTTGCAAGTGTGAAAATACTGCAGAGGGCAGCAGTATGTAGTTCTAATTAAGAAGACAAACCAAAAAAGATGTACATTTCCTTAAATAGAGATTGATTTGAAATAAAATGTAATTTTTGACAACGGTTCTTATCCTAATTTTGCATTTTAAGAACTGATGCTAAAACGTGTGAAAAATCTCTCAAATGAGAAGTCTCCCTGAACCTTCTAAATCAGAAAATAGGGAAATATTTATTATAAATTCCAACATAGATTTCTATACCATCTTGGCAGTTTTGTTTTCAGTATTATTTTTAATTCTCAAACTAGGTAATATTGATTTATAAAGAAAAGCTACATTGAATTTTAATTATCACTAAGATATGATAGCAGTTGTATGTACCAGACACCATTCTGAACACTTTACATGTATTCAACTTTTTCAGTTCTGTGTGGTGTTATTATAAGCTTTGATGAAAAGTGATACTTCAGATAGGCTTTCTGACTTACCACCTTTGAAGTGTCAAAATCTACCATGTCTGATTTTTCTTAAAACACTCACTTAAATGTAATCATGTTTATTATTCAAAAAGAGCAGTATCTTAGCATGCATGAGGCCCTGGATTCAATCCTAGAACAGCAAAAACAAAGAGCAGTATGTAAACCTCCAGTTCTTTATTTCATTGAAACCCAGTGAGTAAATAAAATGTAAAGTCTCCAAATTGCCATCAGATTATATAACTATTTTCCTTCACATCTAAAGAAAACTGAAGGACTACTAAATAAAATAGAAGTATAGCTGCTGCCTTAGGAAAAACTCCACCCACCATAGGACAAAGAGAAAACAATAAACAAAATGTGTTGGTCAAATGAGATACTGCATTATTTCACTTTTATTGTATCCTACCTGATTAAAAGTAGCCTCAGATTTTCCCGCAAATTTCCTATTTCCACAAATGCCTAAGTTGCATTAGAAATGTGCACAGTATTAACACTTGCTTATATATTTTTTGCTTTCTTTAGTCATAAAAGGTTTCAAATGTTTGCATGGAAATTTGCTACTGGGTGAACTATTTGCTTTTTTGTGTTTGAGTGTTTTAGGGTACATGGCATTTAATACATATATTCTGGGATGATACTTAGATGGCATCATACTTTAAAGGCTTAGATAGATATTGGTAAGTGCAGATGATTAGATATTCATAGGTTGTAGCAGTCCATTTAAATTTGCTGGTCTTAGGATGTACATTTCCAGCCATTTTGTTTTTTCTCTATCACTAAATAACAGAAAACAATCACAAAGGAATAGAAAACATGCCACTAAAAATAGAAAAGGATTTCATCAGTTTGAAAAAGATGATAATCTAAAGCTTTACAAGGATCAGAAATCACTGTTATTCAAAATTCTTTAGACCTATTCAGAAGTGTTGTTTAACAGCACATGTTCAGTATCCCTTTTTTTAAATACTTGAGGCCAGAAGCATTTTAGATTTGGAATATTTCCTTGTATATAATGAGGTATTTTAGGGACAGAATGCAAGTTTAAACATAAAACTTATTTCTATTTAATATATACCTTTACACATAACCTGAAGATAATTTTATACAGTATTTTTAGTGCACTTGCATTTTGACTATGACCTATCACACTAGGTCAGTTGTGGAATTTTCTACTTGTGATGTCTTTTTGGCACTCAAAAGGTTTCAGATTTGGGGGCATTTTGGATTTGGGATTTTCAAACTAAGCGTACTCAACTTACAAGTATACCTTTCTTGTGGTATATATTCTGGGCATAAAAAGAACCCAAAAAAGCAAAAACCCTCAAATATCGTACCAATGGTAGTACAATTTTGAAACTCATTTCTGCTATGGATAAAAACAAATAATAAATTTACTCTCAAATTGGCCAAAAAACTGCATAAAATTTTACAAAATGTGTGTATGAATATATATACTTATATAGAGAGACAGAAAAACATGGCAAAACATTAGCAGTCACTGAGTCTAGGTGGAGGGTATGTTAAGTGTTCACTGTACAAGTCTTTCAGCTTTTCTGTATGTTTGATATTTTTCAAAATAAAAAGATGAGGAAAAGTATTCATAGCCTGGTTAGAACACCTTTTAGAATAGTTTGGGGAAGGGATGTGTTTGGGAATGGTGGGGAAGTTCAGGAAGAAACTCTTGGAATTAGAATAGCTTAGAAAGATCAGAAGTAATATGGGAGATGACAAATGTATATGTGGTTATCAGAAACAAAAGTAGAAAGGTGAATGGGTCAAGGCTTAATGGGAAAGATGGGGGCAGTGGAGGCCAAAGAAGCCGTCACCAGCAGGTCTTCGAAGGCTAGGAAAGAAAGTGTAATTAAAATGTGAAATAATTATTTTGAATTCTCTACATACAAGAGGGTCCAATAGGCCTTGCCCTCTGATGTATGGGGATAGGAGCAGTTTACATTTTTTGGCCTTGTTTGGTTTTCTTAGAGGACAGCTCTAGCAGCAGTCCTTCAGGGTTGGCTTTTAAACTTGGAGTTAATTGGACTCATCTGTTTCATGGGCTCTGAAAACACCTTTTTGTGTGTGTGATTAATTTTCTTTATTAGGGTGAATAACATGCACAGATGGGCTTCAGAACTGAGTAAGCAAACTTATTACCTCCTCTTACTCCATGTACTATGGCATAATGTTAAGCAATAAATGATGATTGCAAATGAAATCCATATGTCATTTGCATGTATAATTTAACCCTAGGAAACATTAGAAAGGTTTGGGTACTTTTAAGCTTAGGCATGTGTGTCTTGGAAGTCCTCTTAAACTTCCACTGAAGACATAGAATCTTTTAATCCTGAATAATGTCATGCTTAAATTCATCACTGGATTTCCACAGTACTTATATAAAGATGTAGGAAAGTCTTGGACCCAATTATTGAATATATTAAATCATTATTTTTAAAAATTTTTAATTTGTTCTAAATAGTCATACAAAGCAGAATGCATTTTGACATATTATATATAAATGGAGAATAAGTTCTCATTCTGATTGCACACGATGTAGAATTAAACCAGTTGTATAATCATATATACACATAGGGTCATAATGTCTGATTCATTCTACTATCCTTCCTACCCCCATATACCCTTCACTCACCTTTATCTAACCCAAAGTACCTCTATTCTTACTTAGCCCCCCTCCTTATTGTGAATTAGCATCCGTATATCAGAGAAAACATTTGGCCTTTGGTTCTTTGGGATTGGCTTATTTGGCTTAGCATGTTATTTTCCAGCTCTGTTCATTTACTGGCAAATGCCCTCATTTCATTCTTCTGTAAGGCTGAGTAACATTCCATTGTGTATGTACACCATATTTTCTTTATCCATTCATCTGTTGAAGGGCACCTAGGTTGGGACCATAGTTTAGTTATTGTGAATTGAGCTGCTATAAACATTGTTGTGGCTGTGTCACTGTAGTATGCTGATTTTAAGTCCTTTGGGTATAAACTGAGCAGTGGGATAGCTGGGTCAAATGTTGGTTCCATTCCAAGTTTTCTGAGGAATCTTCATACTGCTTTCAAGATGGTTGCACCAGTTTGCAGTCGCATCAGCAATGTATGAGTGTACTTTCCCCCATATCCTCACCAATGTTTATCGTTGCTTGTATTCTTGATTATTGTTATTCTGACTGGAGTGAAAAGAAATCTCAGTGTAGTCTTAATTTGCATTTCTCTAATTGCTAGAGATGTTGAACATTTTTTTCATATATTTGTTGATCAATTGTATTTCTTCTTCTGTGAAGTGTCTGTTTAGTTCCTTAACCCATTCATTGATTGTTTTTTTTTTTTTTTTTTTGGTGTTAAGTTTTTTGAGTTCTTTAAATATCCTGGAGTTTAATGCTCTGTGGTAAA